TTTTGTAATGGAAATATCAAATCAACTGTAACAGTTCATGACAAGGATATATTAATGGTAGGACATTAGAGAAGGTATCTATGGCTAGCTACTTCATATTCAGAGTCTAAGAAAATGGTTTTCTTTTATCAAATGAACAGTCAGCTCAAAATACGTATTCCTTAAATGATGACTTAGGAGTCAAGTTGCTAAATGAAAATATATGGTGTATACCTTGGAGATTTATGTTGTTTGCTCTTTTTCTCTTAGGAAGCCTGACAAATAGAAAAATACTACAAAGTGAAGAGAAAATTCATTTCACAAGAACTGAGCTCTGCTTTCATTGGCTTCTAAATTTATTTATATTAATAGCTGACTAGTGTCAGATCATCTCTGTGGTCTGCTGTGGTGAAATTATTAGGTTAAAGCTGGAAAAGATGAAACAATTAAAAAGAAAAAGGAAAAGCAATTTTAGTGTTCAGGAAACTCAAACTCTCCTTAAGGAAATCAGAAAAAGGAGAGAAGTACTCTTTTCAAAGCAACTTAATACAACAATTAATGAGATGAAACGGAAAGCTTGGGAGGAAATAGCAGAGTGTGTCAATGCTGTAGGTGAAGGAGAGCAAAGAACAGGGACAGAAGTGAAAAGGCGATACCTTGACTGGAGAGCACTCATGAAGAGAAAACGTCTGAATGCAAACATCAAAGTAGTAGGTGCTGGGTTTCACCTTCCTTCATCCAATTTAGATGACTCTCTCAATGAAGACATGGATGAGAAAATGGGATTTGCAATTGAATCTAGTTTTGAATGGCAAAATATCACTGACTTCAGAGAAGCCGGTGGATCTTTAACGGAAATCAAAGTAGAAGAGGAAGAGGAGGATCCACAGAATTTCGAAGTGAGTGACTGACATGCATTAGCTGTGTGCAATATGGCCTTTGTTTCATTTCCGCATAAGGCTGCTGTGTTTCTTAATAGTATCTGTTTCTGGTTTTTTTCTGAATGTGTGAATTAAAGAAACTGTAGAAACAAATATATTTCAGAGAGATGATGTTCAAATCTAGCAGCTTGGAATTGGGTGTAGGTCTTGGATGTTGATTATTGAATTGATATTCCTAAAGCTGGAATATGTCTTCGCACATGTATTTTCCATTTGTATGTGCCACAGATAAGAATTAGTTCAGTAAATAGAATGAAAATATGCCCTTGAAGGAAACTGGTTATTGTAATATTCAGGCTGTCTGGATGGATGAACGGAGAAGAAAAGTGCACTTCTTTAACAAATGGAAGTATATGTTACCTGCAGGTACAGAAAGAAATAGAATACAGAAAGAAATAGAATACTGTTTGCATGGTCTTAAAATGAACCCACAGGAGATGAAACCATTACTTGAATAAGTCGGCCATTCTTCTCTTTCAGAATTTTAGTGTGGATTTGACAAGCAGTTGTGGATTCTCTAGACAGGTTTTTACTCCTAGTAGTACTGTGACTGTCCTGGGGAACGCAGCCAGCTGGAGTCAAGTCAAATGTTGGCATAGTTTTGCTGTGCCTCTACAAATATATAGTTCTCATTTCAAAAAGGGGTATTCAAACAGTTTTCCTTTTTTTTTATTTTTTCCTCAAGTGGGAAGGGTAGGGAAGCAGCTCCTGTCTTAGCTCAGTCGATATATGTGCTGGGAAAAAATCAGCAGAAGCTGTTAAATGGTAGTGAGACCACTGTCAGACAGTGCTGAAGAACAGTGTCTGTCTACTGCTGAGAGCAGTGGTCCTAGCCATCTCATCATCTGCATCATAAATAGCTTTACAGCAAATGTGGTAACACAGAACGGTTAAAGTCCTGTGTATAGACCCACTTAATGGAGTTGGAAGCGTTAAGAGCATGTGAAAAATGTCAGTGTTAAATCTTTTATAAAAAATGGAATCCTTAAGTTAGTGAAGGTTGGGGTAGCTTACATACCACATAGCCTATGAATCCATCTGCTCTGATAAATAATAAGTCATAACAAATTCCTAGTGGCTTCCCTAAATGTCACGCAGGTCTATGAAAAGTAAGAACAACATATGGTCTCGTAGATCCATTTTTCTATCAGTGGTTCTGAATGATCTGTAATAACTGTGCCATGTTTTCTGTATGTTCTTGCATGTCCACTGACAAGCTGATTTTGCATTTTTCATTACCAGGTATTAACTTGCAGATAAAGTGTGTTTCTCTACCTGTGTAATGATAGAAAAATTTTCTGATCTAAAATGGTTATTTCACAACATGTGAGTTAAACAGTTCTGAGTAGCTTTAAAAATGAAAAAAACGCAATATGTTCTTTTCAGTTAAGTTGTGTGTAACACATTTATTCAGTCATAAAGCCTGGAGTGTAATTCTTGTCTGTCACGTTCCTCTGCAGTTTCCTATTGAGGAAGAAGAAGAAATATTGTCATCAGTTCTGCCAGATTCGAAAAAGGAAAATGACCTACCAGACTTCCCCCACATTGAAGAGTTTGGAAATCTAAGCTCTGCTCAAGCTAGGCTAGCCTATGAAGATTCTCACTTGCTTATAAATCTGGAGAAGCAAAAGCTGGATCTGGAGAAACAGCGACTAGACATTGAAGCCGAAAGGTTGCAAGTGGAGAAGGAGCGCCTGCAAATTGAAAAGGAACGGTTGCGGCACGTTGACTTGGAGCGTGAGAGGCTTCAGATTGAGAAGGAGCGACTTCAGATTGAGTGGGAGAAGCTCAGGCTGGAGACTCTGCAATCTGAAAAACCTGCCCTGGAAAATGACCTCACCCAAACAGAAAAACCCATCATGCAGCCTCTGGATCTAGAAACTGAAAAGTTAAAACTTGAAAAAGAACGTTTACAGTTAGAGAAAGAGAGGCTGCAGTTTCTCAAGTTCGAGTCAGAGAAGCTGCAGATTGAGAAGGAACGCTTGCAAGTGGAGAAGGAGCGCCTTCGAATTCAGAGAGAGGGTCACTTGCAGTGAACTTCTCAACTAAAGTGTCAACAGTAGTGTTTTGATGTTTCTAAAATAGAGGTAGTTCTTTTCTTAATACTGAAACTGTCCTAGAGGCTAAACATTTTTCTGTTCAGAGTTGAACGTTATGTTAAACTGAAAAAAAATGGTGCTCAATATGTCGGTGTGCCTGCATAAGTGAGCTAATGTGTGAAATTGCTTTTCAGTGTATCAGAACTAAGTGTTATGTTCTCTTGTCTCCAGTATTGTGCTGTATTAGTTTGGTGTCCTCCTCTTGTAGACATGTTGAGGAGAATCAGGGCTGAACCTTATGCTGTTTTTCACTGTAGTAACAGTAAGAAAGGATCATAATAAATCAACATATGTTGTGAGGACATGGTGCTGACAATTGCCCATATGGTAACGAAGTATAATTTGGCAGAACAGAGTAATACAGAGTCATGATGAGATTGATTCATTAAACTTAGCTTCCCCTTTTTTGTTTTTTTTTTTTGTTTTCCCGCCCCCACAATTGGAAAAAGAGTTGAAGAGTTTTATAGAAGTTAAAGTGCAAGTTAAATTTGTTGCAGTTGTTTTTACTGTTGTTCCATGGCTTGAACTGAATGAGAGTGCAGAATATAATATTGTTTCTTTTGCATTAAATATTCATACTAGATAAAGTTACACATCAACCATACCTACTATAAGCTAATGTTTGGTTTCACCAGGTCCTTAATAATGCTATATGGAATATAGCACCTGTCTTGGTGTAGCACAGGGATTTGCTGATTGATCAGGCATGCTGTCTGGTGAGTCTGTGATGACCCGCTGAAGGAAATTGCTATACCTGGTTTGTTTGTTGAAAGACAGTAGCTGGTGATGGGAGTCTCAGGATTGGAGACACAGAGGCTGAGCAGAGGCTAAGGAGCACTGAGCTTGAACATGAACATGCTCGTTGCTGGTTCTGCCTGGCCAGCACTGAGGTCATGTCTGCAAGGCAGCCAGAAGAGGCTTCTGTGACTGACATCATATAGTATATTTTAATTAGACAAACAGAAATAATCCGTGCTGAAAGCTGTTGATTTTTTTCATAAGAAATGTATTCATTTAACAAAAAAACCACCAAGGAAGGAAGCTTTCCATTATTTCATATATGTTTAAATCCAAACTGAGCCAGACTTCAAATTTTTCGTCTTTCTCCAAGTAGCTATCTTTTGTTGACTCCATTTGAAACTTAGGACTATGAGAATACTAAGTCTAAATATATGTTGAGTGACTTACGTGAATTCTTGTGCAAGTAAATATATTTATACCACTACAGGTTTACTCTTATTCTGCAAAGAAAATGTTATTTTTTTATTACTGAAACAAGTGTGCTTCTTCAGTGGAAATAAATTTGACTACTACACTCCAAAATGGCTCTTGAGACTGTCTTTCTTAACAGAGAGAAGGCTACATCTGAAGAGAAACCTGGGTACTCAACACTACAGCACCCCAAAGTTGCTGGTGCCTGTATTCCCTGTGTAGTAAATCAGAGAGATGAGACCCCTCAGAGTTGAACTTAAATCAACCAGCACTTACTTAAGAAAGGAAAAGGGAAGGAGACACCAACCAGCTAGATAGAAATGCCCCAGTGTATCTGAAATTTTTCATCGTGAATATGGTTGGCTGATGGTGGCTTGATGCCAGGTTCCCCCCCAGAACTGCTCTATCTCTCCCCTCCTCAGCTGGGTGGGGTAGAGAAAATATAACAAAACACTCCTGGGTTGAGATAAACACAGGGAGGGAGCACTCCTCAATTACTGTCACAGGCTAAACAGATTCATCTTGGGGAAATTAGCTTATTACCAATCAAATAAGCATAGGGTAATGAGAAGTAAAACCAAATCTTTAAACATCTTTTCCACAGCCTTCCCTTCTTCCTGGGCCTTAACCTGATTTTCTGTACCTCCTCCCCCTGTGCAGTGCAGGGGAATGGGGGCTGTGGTCAATTCATCACATGCTGTCTCTGCTACTCCTTCCTCCTCAGGGGGAGGACTCCACAGTCTTCCCCCTGCCCCAGCATGGGCTCCCTCCCACAAGAGATAGTCCTCCATGAATTTTTCTAGCATGAGTCCTTCCCACAGGCTACAGTTCTTCATGAACTGCTCCTGTATGGGTCCCTTCCACGGGGTCCAGTCCTTTAGGAACAGGCTGCTGTAGTGTGGGTCCCCTTCAGGGTCCTGCCAGCAAATCTGTTCCAGAGTGGGCTCCCTTCTGCATGGAGCCACAGGTCCTGCTAGGAGCCTGCTCCAGTGTGGGCTTCCCACGGGGTCACAGCCTCCTTAAGGTGCTTCTATCTGCTCTGTTTTGGAGTTCCTCCACAGGCTCCAGTTGAATCTCTGCTTTATCTTGTGCCTCCATGGGCTGCAGGGGCACATCTGCCTCACCACAGGCTGCAGGGGAATCTCTGCTCCAGTGCCTGCAGCACCTGCTGCTCATCCTCCTTCATTGACCTTGGTGTCTTTAGGGCTTTTTATCTCACATGTTGTGCCTCCTCTCTCTGGTAGCTTTTTCCCGTTTCTAAATAACATTATCCCAGAATTACTACCGCTGTTGCCAATGGACACGGCGTTGGCAGTGGCAGGTCCGTGTCGGAGCCGGCTGGCATTGGCTCTGTCAGATGTGAGGGAAGCTTCTGGCAGCTTCTCACTGTAGCACCTCCTGCTACCAAGACCTTGCCATGGAAATCTAATACACTGAATTGAAGTGAGACATTTTTAGCTCCCTGATACATATCAAGCAAATTGATACTAAAAATAGCTTTCTGTGATTTGGAGAAATTGCTTATCTTTTCCTTTTAAAATACGAGAGAAGCAGAATTCAGGAGGTTTGTCAGGATTTTCTAGTGCGTAGAGCATTGACCAAGATAGTGGGGTAACATGGATTTTATGATTGCTGTATCCTGGGGTGACCAATTTTCTAGATAACTATTCTCACTGCCAAACAAGGTGGGTAGGAACAAGGGGCATCATAGCCAGCTCTGCAAGAGGCAGTGACCAGAAAGACCAGACCAGGACAGAGAGAACCTTCCTACGGTCTTCTCTGTAAGAAGTATCTGGCCTGGAAGGAGCAAATGTGGAATCTGGCTCCTGTTTCGACAGGTAGTTGAGCTGCTGCTTGATTCCAGTACTTCTGTCGTCATGTTTTACTCCGACTGTATGACTTATCCATTAGGATAATGGTTTGTATGTTACATTGGACACCTTCAGAATTACACCCCAGGAGCATTAAAGGTTACGGGGAAAAATATATAGATAAACTTGAACCATTTTTGAATCCTGAATTGTTTCAGAAATTTGAACACTTCTCCAAATGTTAATAGTGCAGTATATAAGCAATTATTTTCTAACAGCTATTCAGCCTCCCAGGGAAATGATGCATCCTTTGGTTATAGAAAACCTCTTGGAAAATACTGAATGATGAAATTAAGTATCATGATAAATCATTGAAAATACAGTTTCATCATAAAATTTAGAGAAAATTACAGTTTTATACATCAGTTTTATAGCTTGTTTTTTAAATAATGAAAATGCAGTCATTTTCTGGTAATTTGAATTTAAATGTCGTATCTTCAAATACTAATCTGCAATCTCTTAAACCTCAATTGCTTGACTCACCAACATAGGATCCTGACAGCAAAGCCTAAGGGCAAGATTTCAACCATGTAAATGTTACTGAAGATAGGACATACAAATAAACTCAGTTCTCTGCTAGAGAGAGAGATTTGTAGTCCTGCTTAAAATACGGGCCTGTGATTTTAAGTAGTGAGTGACTTTTCCAGACTGGGAAGAGGTTTAAGACAAGGGGGAAACCACACCTGTTGAAGGAAGAGGCAAGTATTTGGAGAAAAAAAAGGAGAGGAGTGAAGATCAAACATCTGGTAAGAGGAGAGGCAGGTGAAACTGGTGATAGAGAAGTATCCCATTTTCATTTTAAGCTGCTTTATTGAGGTTTTGTCTGGTGCACTGATGTCAGACCTCGTGGCTCTGTGACCCCCATGGGAATTTATGAACAGAGAAGGTGAGTGGCCTGAGGTCCAGCATGCAGCTTCACAGCTGCTGCCAAAGGCAGCAGTTCGCAGACTCCATGTGTGCCATCTGATTTCTGGTCCTGCAGTGGGAACACGTGCTGGGACCTTTGTAAATGCCATTATGTCCGCTACTCTATGAAGAGGTTTCTAGCCTGTAATTTTAGAACCAGAAGACTAAATAACAAAGGTAAAAAAAAAGCTGCCTCAGAGAGTTTCTCACTGTCTGTTATTAACCATGGGTCCCACCAATTTGTGCCTGGCTAAGACATTAATGAAGAGAAGCAGTGTGCATCCACGTGTTTTCACAATGCAGTTTGGAGACAGGCTGGCTAATGCTTAACAGTGTTCTACAGAGAGCCAGAGGAGATCATAGGGTAAGGTTGTAAATGTGGTCCCCAAGAACAGCCCAGGATGAACAGCAGCCATACTCCCAACAGGACACAGCTGACAAAGCACAGTAGGATTCAAAGGCAACTTCTTTCTCTTGAGTAAGTAGTCTTGTTATTTCTAGGACATTTTGAGCAACTTGCATTGTGTGTAAAGAGATGCTGCAAGCAGTGTGTACACAAGGTATAAAATAATTTATTAAGATAAATTATTAAATTATCATTAAGACAAATAAGAGATGGTTAGGATTTCATAAGCTCTCAGACTAAGCATTAGTATTGTCATCACCTCAAGGTGTCTTTACTATTCAGGGAGGCATCAGCCAGGAGAGTAAGGGTTTCTGAAATCCCCCTTGCAAGTGGGAACAGAAGCTAGCATCTCATATTTCTTCACCTTTCCACAGAACTGTTGATGCAGTTGCCACAAAAAAGCATCAGCGATATCAGCTGCCTCTCTGGCTCATCCTCCCCCAGAAGCTCCCCTCAGAAAGGCATGGAGTTCTCCAAGGAGACAAAGTCAGACCTAGGGCTGATATTTGACAAACACAAAAATACCCTCAAAAATTCTACTCCATGTCAATCAGGAGCCTCGACAGAAGTGCTAGATGGGAGAAGAGGGAGGAGGAAAGACTGATTTTTCTCCATTGTTGCTGAAATCAATTAGCGAATTTAAGCTAGAGAGTGTCCAAAAATGCTACTACATGCAATGATGTTTTGCATCAAGGATTCAGAATGCTTGTAGCTGGTATTAGGACTATAGAAAGATTTTAATCCAGGTTTGTTTGGTTTTTTTTAAACTAAAGAGAAAATAAAATAAAAAATATTGCATTTTATAATAAATGCCCACCCTTTGTTTTCAGATAATCAACTTGTTTGAAGATGCTTGCTCCAAGCAAATAGGAAGAGGCAAGGAAGAACGCCTTTCATAAGGACTTGGAGCAACTTATAGTACTTCATCTTTTCCTCTCATTCTTTTTTTTTTTATTTTTTAGTCAATTTGTATCAAAACGATTTTTTCAAACCACTAGCTATGCCACCAGTGCTTTTGGCTTGGTATCACCAGGCGTTCTAGCAGTGACACAATGATCTAGCCATTTGCCACTCATGCAGCATCCAATGGGATTCAGGAAGGGCAATGGGGCTTAGGTAGCTCATTTTTCCTTCCTGGTCTTGTAAAGCAAAGTCTCCTGATGCTAGGTCATACTTACTATGCCAATGAATGCAACAGTTCTCAGCCATCACAAAACATACTAGAAAAAAAAATAGGTCCACTGAGACAAGACCAGAAGAAGCCCTTTTCAGATACTGCACATAATCCTTTTAAACTTGACCTACTTTAGAGGACATTTCCATCCTCTCCTTTTACAGATTATTAAGAGTACCATTGTTATTTTCTGTTCCAGTTTTATTGTTTTTAATTTCCCTGCTTCACACTATCAGTAGTTTTATTCTATACATTAGCGGACTGTGAAATACCTTGTCTTGCTACTTCCATATTTTCTAATTGCAACACTCCATCATTAGTCAACGGGTTCATAATGTGGAAGGCAAAGCTGCTATTTCATTTCATGCTATATAATACAATGCTTTTGGTTCAGTAATTACATTGTGCCAGACTCGTGATCAATCCTGAGATAGCTCACTTGTGATGGATAGCCCCATCACAGAGTGTGTAAGAGTTAAAGGAAGAAGCAAATTTTTAATTTTGTTCCTCTGTCAATCTAGCTACTTGGATACTACTTTTGAGACTAATATTTATCTCACTGAGATAGGTAGAGATTACACAAATGAGAACTTAAAAGAGAGAATTGAAGTTTGAAAAGCATTTCCTAAAGTTTTAGTTTGGAAAACAAGAAAGATATAAATTAGACATTGTTCCACGGAAAGCTATTGTGTGTTAATCTGTTAATGGATTGCAAATCTTTTAGTCACCTCTTTAATGTACTGGAGAAAACCATTACCTGCTTCTTATAACTATTCTAAGGGTTATGTGAAATGACATGATGATCTTACTTACTATTACTGCTTGGTACTAGGCCTGTAAAAAAAAATTTCCAAAGGTTTTCAGCTCAGTCATAGAAGTGTTTGGAGTCAAACAATTTTCTGAGGTGGCGGCCAATTTTCAAACACTCATAGGATATAGGTAGTGCCTTTTCCTAACAAGGGAGGAATTGCAAGTGTGGGGTGCAAGAGTGCAACATGGGTCACAAGGACAGCCAGGACAGCCACGCCAAGTGAGTAAGAGTGGAGAGTGCTATAGCCTTTAGGGACCAGGGACATCCTAGTGCCCTGAGGTTACAGCAGAGGAAAGCTTGATCCTAGTGGGGCATGTTTACACTTTTCTGAGAAGGATCTGCTAGGACCCAATTTCAGGGACAGAATTTCTGGCCAGACAGGCTATTGCTTTGGTTCAGTAAAGCAATGTTCATATTCTCGCATATTTTATAGAATTGCATTCTATGAGGGCAAAACCTATTCCAGGGTTTTGAACATAAATAGAAAATATTCCTATTTATGTTATAAAATTCCCTTGTCTTCATTGCTCTTTGACTTTTGCTCAGGGCCACATCTCAGATTTTCCCATCTGACTTCCTATCTGCCGTCCTTTTTGTATATCATCCTTCCTCCAAGGACTAGCAGTGAGACCCCAGTAGTCAGAAATAAGAGTTAAAAACACTTCAGAAACCCACTCTCCAGTACCCTGAGGGGGGTTTGGTCATCTCACCAAAGCAAGAGGA